CAGTCTTCTTGCTAGTACCTTTGCAAGGATTTTGTACGACACATTTAACACAAATATTGGACGCCAGTTACGAATATCTGACTTGTCCCCTTTCTTAAATAACACCGAAATAATTCCTCTAGACATGTTAGCTGCGAGTTTCCCTCCCGTAAGGACCTCGTTGTAAATATTTACCAAACATTCACCCACCTCTTCCCAAATAACCAAAAACAGCTCGATTGGTAATCCGTCATCCCCGGGGGCCTTGCCAGAGGCCATAGCTTTCAATGCTTCATGAACTTCCGTAACTGTAATCGGCCGATCCAGATCAAGTTTCCCACATGTAGAGAGTCTCACCATCGTGTTGTTCCAGTGATTGGAACTCATGTGCAGATCTGCACATACTGCTGCACCCTGCAGGCGGGATGTTAAAATAACTCTATAGTACAACGCAGCGTAATCACACAGCTGAGTCAAATCTTTGGTCACCGGAACCAACTGATCAAACGGATGTTTAAGTTCCTTCATCAGTGTTTTAGAATAACGTGGCAACAACTTGTGAAAACTTTCCTTTGTCATACGATCATGCACTATCATACCCTTAATCCGCAGTCTTTCAGACCACAGCTCAGATTCCTTAATTTCCTCCTACTCCCATTCTGCTAGGAGACGCAGTATTTCTCTACCCCATACCTTCTCAGAGACATGATGCTCCATCATGCAGGATTCCGCATACTCAATCCGTTTCTTCAGAGTTTTAGTTTTACAACCCCGTTGGTAAGCGAGCAATCGAGAAAATACGTTCAAGAGATTATAAAACATCTGAGATCCCGAATTCCACCATTCTGCTATTGATGAGAAATTTTGCAAGGCACCTTTCCAATCATGCCAGAATAGTTTCATCCAAGATACCAGTCCTGGAACCTTGAGATTCAAGGTATTGAAACGGAACAAGCCTTTGCCTCTGGATGCATCCGAGGTTTGAAGTGAGATTAAGATAGGTTTATGATCAGACATAGAGCCAGCAGATAACCCTACCTTTAATACTGCGTCCCACAAAGATGACGAGGTCAAAAAGAAGTCCAGCCTTCTTTTAGTAATCCCAGTATTTTCCCGGTAGTGGAAAAACCACGTATAACCGGGGTTATCCGGGTGGGATATTCGAAATGGATCAATAAGGTCCAGAGCTTCCATCATGGAAAGGAGACTGAGCTTATCGTTAGTAGATCTAGATGAGGACACATCTAGCGTGGTGTTCCAATCACCTGCCAATATATATTTATCAGCATCGGGCACAATCAACAACAGTTCCTAAAAGAAGGAAATTCGAGCAGAAATTTCCACAGACGCATAAACAGAGACAAAAACCCAATAAGTATTGTCTATAAAACATTTCGCCTAGGCCCATCTACCCCAGATATCCGCATAAAAGTCAACAAGCTCCAATTCAGCATTTCTGTGGATTAAAATTGTCATTCCACCTTTAGATCCCATGGCCGGAGACCATAACTGTAGGTCGTCCCACCAATGTGTGAGCAACGCAATTTTCTCCTCATAAAGTTTCATTTCCTGGAGACAAGTGACATGAACATTGTTATCGAAAATCCAGGACTTAAGCCTATCTTTCTTGTGGTGGCCAGCGTTATCCCCCAGGCCCCGGACATTCCATGAACCAACCTTTAATTTAACCATCAATCATCGGGCCTGCTGAATCGTTTTGGATCARGGAGTTGTCTTGCGGCCCTGAGCGATTAGGGTTTGGGAGCCATGGTTTGGTCAGCATCAGGCGCACGTACGGTGACAAAAGCTTCTTTTCTCTCAACAGACGACTGTCCACATCCGCTAAACATTCAACCGAGGGAAGGGGAGGCATCCTGATCCTCCTCAATTCACCCTTCTTGGCCTCTCCAAACCAAGAAAGGGGAAGTAGACAGACCCCCTCGGACTCCAATTTTTCCAACTGTCCCGGAACTAGACGGACGTCCATAATAGGTACAAAAAATTTGATCCTCTTACCTGCGCCCTCTGGGCTGTCAACGATGATCTGAGGCATTGACATGTCTGGGATAAGGCGAAAATGAAAGCGATCCTGGATCGCCGTCCTGACTAGGATGGAGATGGCAGAAGGCATCGGCTGTTCTGGGCCTGAGAGGCTGATCAACAGGATGGAGCCATCAACAGCAGTCCACGCAATAACCCACAGCGCGTCTCTTACTGCTAAGCAAAAGAGAGGGAGAATCCTGTTCTCCACTTGGTTTAGCAACCCTCTGCTCAGTGATTTAGGTGCGCTTCGTTTAACCGAGGAGCTCCCTGGTGTCCCCAAATCCTTGATGCGTCCTTGAGAGCCGGTGGAGCCAGACGATTTAGAGGCCTCATTTCAGAGTTTTCCTGAGACGAAACTGCCTTCAAGGTCCAGACGCCATTGCTTACCAGGGGTGCTCGACCTAGGTCTTAAGAACTCTGATGGAGATGCCCCTCGCCTGCCTTGATTTGATGCTTTGGCCTGATGATCCCCTCCTCCTACCGCATGGCCTAGGCCTGATGCGCCATCATGAGCGTTCCCACCGCCAGGTGTCAAAGGAACCTCCCCTCCTCCTCCCCCTCCCATCCCAGGGAGGGGGGGTGTTCGAAGATACTCCTTGAGTGCCTGGTTGAGTGCATTTGTTCACTCACTATCTGGCCCGTTCCAACCAATGCATGAATTTATGGATACCAACTACACTACGCCCATCATTCGGCGCGTGCTTTTACCACCACGGAGGTCCTATGTTCAAAAGCTGAATGAATAGTCTGCTAAAAAATGTGAAGATGCACCTCCATTCCTCCCCCCTCCCCCCACAATTTCTGCATGCACTGAGTACTCATCGACGCCCCGCCTCAGCCCTCAACTTGTCTGCAGTTACTCACTGACACAAAGCATGGCCTCAAAACAAAGCTGAAGCTCTCCTTTTAGGGCCTCGTTCCACTACCGCCATCCGCCACGCATGGCGGACGCGACTTGGTTCCACTGCATCGCCAATAGCCACGGAATGGAGGCTGTCAGAATTTGGGTGTGAAATCACTTGGCCATGTGCGGCCAAGGCTTTCCATTTCCCCTGCATGCAACGGCCCTTCGTGGAGGCTCTACTCCGCACCCCCCAGCGAAATGCTTCGTGTGGCCATCGCCCCTCACACAGCCATCCTGACAGTCAACCTGCATTGTCCCCTAGTGTTGGCAAGTTTTAGCTGCACGTGGAGTGATTTCCAGTCCGAGTACATGGTGAAGGGAAGGCGGCCACCGTTCCATTAGCTCGCCATCCACCACAGTCCGGGGAGCAGGCCGGAACAGCAGCCACAGCGCACGTGGCGGCGGCGGCGATGTAATGGAACCAAGACCCTTTTTCTGCCAGAAAAATGCAGTTTTCAGCCTCGCCAAGTCTCGCCACAAACAGTGGCGGATGGCGAGTAGTGGAAGGAGGCCCTTAGTGACCCCTCCAATCACTGAAGAGAAAAATCCCCTGTAGTATACTGCCCAGAAAAAAAAACACAATACTACAAACTCCCTCCCTTCACAACATGACCCAACATCACACCCCAACCAATCACAAAACAGTAGGCTGCTGGCTCCCCTTCCAAAAAGGCGTTATGTTTAATCCAACCTTCCGTTTGTTAGATGATCAATGGTTCGCAGTGGTCCCACAATCACACAAGTAGTAAAAAGCTGTACTACACGACTGCGTGTGGGCCGAGACCCCCACTTCGCACTGTAGATCATCTCGCAAACCGACCGTTGGATTACACATCCCTCTTTTTTGGAAGGGGAGCCAGCGGCCTACCGTTTTTTTTTTTTTTTTTTTTTTAATGCGTGTCATCCTTGCGCAGGGACCATGCTAATCTTCTCTATATCATCCAGCGGCCTAGCTCAGTTGGTAAGGCACACAAGTGGCATTCAGGAGGTCTTGGGTTCAATCCCCATTGGCCTCATGTACCTTCCTGGGCAAGCTTGGCGCCCGCCACCTAGAGGTATGCCGTTGGTCCCCCCGAGTGGCATTGAGCAGAGACTGCTGATGTTCATAGGGGGAGGGGACCGGAGGGGAGGGACAGTGACTGGCCCATCGAAGAAGCTCGGTCCTGATGCTACTGGCTGACCCCCGGTATCGCCCACCTGCTGTAGCAGGTATCGCACCTGCTGGTGGGTGCAGCTCCCGCATGTTCCCTCGTTGGAGGCTTGAGCACGGATGTGGCTGCTACGGGGTTCCCCGTAATACTATAATGACAATAAAAAAGGCCTGAAAGGCCGTCCTGTCCAGATTTGACAGGTAATTGAATAGCCTTTAAAAAAAAAAATCTTCTCTATATCGTTCCAATTTTAACGGATGTCCCGAGGGACAGCCTACCGTTTTGTGATTGGTTGGGGCATCGTGTTGGGTTCATGTTGGGGTCATGTTGGGACGGGAGGGAGATCAGGCCTGCGCACGGGCTAGGTGTTGTATATTCAGGCCTGCGTACAAGCGAGGGGGGTTCCTGAAAGGGTGACGTGTGGAGCTTAGTTCGTCGTTGGCCGGCGACCGGTGCGACGAACAGCCGTTGACAGAGCTTGTTGTCGGCCGACAAATCCAGCTCAGCAAAAGAGGAGGGTCGTATGCGCGTAGAACAACGAAGCTTGAATTGCAGTGCAAGCCATTGGAGAAAAAAATTGGTCGAGCTCTATCCCCATTAATCGGGGATTTCAGGACGCCCGGAGTCTCTGTCCAACTTCTAATCGTTGAAGTTTGCGGTCTTTTTTAGGAGGTGCCTTCCTTCTCTTGGCTGTCCAATCTACGAACAGAGGAGCGCGCCACAAGCACGGTGCAGGAAGACTCTTACAGAC